GGAGCGCCGGGAGGCGGCCGGGGCCCACGGCGCGCGCGTGTGCACGCGGTGTGCGTTCAGACTCGGCTTTCTGCGCGGTCCGCGTCACCGAGATTCCTTCCTGGGTAGAAGCCGAGCGCCCTTGCGACGATTCCTGCAGGATTTCTTGCAGCCACGGCTTGTTCGGAGGAGCAGAGATGGATGGAGGCTGGGAAGGGGGTGGGAAGGGGGGAGCGAGCGCAGGTCTGGGTTTGAGAGTCGCATTGTGATGTGAGTGTTCGGGAAATCTAGTGGAAAAGGGGGGAGGGTGGGCGGGAGAGAGAGAACGAGAGAGAGGCAGAGTGCGGTGGGAGCTCGTTGGAGGGACGATTTCAGTACTTTGTGTACATCAAGGCAATCTAACGTCACTGCGCTCCGCTCAGCTGAGTTGGCTTGTGTTTCAGAGAGAGGGAGTGGGAGAGACAGAGACAGAGAGAGAGAGAGAGAGAGAGAGAGAGAGAGAGAGAGAGAGAGAGAGATTGACTTACCTCGAATTCAGGAACTTTAACCCTGAATGCGGAGCAGGGCCTGAAACCATTCCCACGGCTTCCTCTCGCCCTGGGTGCGAGGAACAAGCGGGGCGCTGAGACTATATGCCCTCGGGTGCTCCCGGAGGCCGCTGCTTTGTGTTTTCTGGAGCCCCCCTGGCGTGCCCCGACTTGGACGTGTCTGGGGAGAGCGAGCGCAGCGCGGAGGAGGTGTGTGTTGGAGGTGGGCAGTCGCCGCGGAGGCTCCAGCGGTGGGCGCGCCGTTGTAGGCGGCAGTAGCCGCGCGCCCGGGCCGGCCGTCCCTCGCGTAAGCCCCGGAGCCACCATGCCCGCACCCCCGCCTCGCCGCCGGCTTCCCTGCTAGGAGACAGAGGGGATGCGGTGAATGCACCGGCTTCACCGAGAGAGGTAACCGTCCCCGCAGATGGCCCGGGAGGCTCGGGAGGGAGCTCTCCGGTCGGCCGAGTCGGCTCGGGGCGGCGCGAATGGCGGACTCCAGCCTCGCCCCGCGTCCTGCGGGAGCGGCTTGCGGAGACCCGCCGGCGGAGGCTTCGCGCGGCCCGGAGCTCCCCGGCGAGTGGAGCACGGGAGGCGGCCGCGGCTGGAGGAGCGGCGTGGAGGGTCACAGCAAGCACGGCCTGGTTCTGTCAAACCGCATCTCGTTCGCCTCCGCCAGACCGGAGCTCCCGGAGCTCTGGCGAGGGCGCGGGGTGGGGTTCCAACCAGGGCCGGCAGGGAATACAGGAGCGCGTGTGGGGGCGCCGGCGCTGCTTTCTTTTGTTGTGAGTGGACCGCGGGGTTCCCGTCACCGCCTCCCGAAACCCCAAGGGCGAGGTGAAGGAGGCTGCTTGCGCGAGGCAGGCCTCCGAAGCCGTCCCTGTCTTTGGCCGCATTTCTAGAGCGCCGGCCCTTACAGACCAGGGTGGGACCCAGCCTTCTGCTGAAGCAGATTCGGGGGGCCGTGGCTTGCGCTCCCTTCCCAATGGCTTCCCTGTATTTTAGGGGGATGATCCCTCCCGGGAAATGTAGAGGAGGATGTAAGGAGATCAGAGCAGGAGACCGGCTCATCGGGCCTGAACTGTTGTGCGACTGTTTTTCTGCGTGTTCCAACCCCACGCGCCGGCACACCCGGGCCGTTCTATGCCTTGCCGGGAGCCGGCCGGCGATTCAATGCCTCTGGCCTAGGATTTATCTGAGGCTGATTTCATCCTCTCCAACCTTGAGCCTGGGCCTGCTCTTCGGCCAGTCAGGCCTGGCTGAAGCTCGGAGAAGCTCCCCTCGGCCCGGCCGCTCGCTTGACAAAATGCCCGCCACCCCGGGCCAGCGGCAGAGCGCTGGTGAAAGTCACCCAGTCGCGCACTTCTCTCCCAACTCCTGCGCGGGCACTTTCTTCGTCTAGTCTTCTGTTTTGGCACTATTTTGTTATTTTTTTTTTTAACGAATCTTCTTTAAGCTCGAGGGGAAAGAAAAGGACTTTTAATTTTAAAGAACTTTTTATTTTAAGGCCTGTAACCGATAAAAGACGTCCATGAATTCTCTTTTGAACCTAATCTGTCAATCTGCACATCCTTCCCCTCCTGGGTTCTTGGTTTTACAAGAGGCAGGTTATTTCAGGCATTTTACCTGCTGCAGAAAACTATTCCCCTTGTGAGGATTAATACAAAGAGCTCTGATGGCCTCCTGTAATTTGGCGAAGAAAGAAATTCTCCAAAGGATGCTAGGTTTTTTGTTTTGTTTTGTTTTTGGTTCCTACCCAATGGCTTCCAAAAATACCTACGCCTTATCTTTATTGGCTCTTCCAGAAGTCCAGACAAATTTGACGGGCAGCTTGCTTATCGGCGATCCTGTGCAGGGGAGACGCGGGCCTCCCCTCCTCCAGCTTAAGCAGGCCTTTCGGGAAAGGTTGTGCATGGTCATAAAGTAATAGTAAGGACAATAACAATAGGGCCTTCTACGGCCTCCTTCAGCTGGGAACAGAGGTGCTGGGAGCTGGAAACCAAGTGTCAAATTATGCCCTCCTGTCACTAGGTTCTCCAACTCTCTCTCTCCTCCTCTCCCTCTCCCTTCTTCTTGTCCTCAGAGCAGAATCTAGCGCAGGCACAGGGCCCCAGGCGCACCATGGCCGACGCAGAGGAGGGCTTTGGCCTGGCGCACACGCCTCTGGAGCCTGATGCAAAAGACCTGCCCTGCGACTCCAAACCAGAGAGCGGGCTAGGGGCCTCCAGCAAGTCTCCGTCATCCCCACAGGCCGCTTTCACCCAGCAGGTAAGAAGACCCCGTACCCCAGGGCCCTTCGCAGAGACCAACACCAGGCTTTTCTGCTCAGCCCCTCCTGCAGGGGCCAGGAAAAAAAAAAGCGCACTGCGCATCATTATCCTATTTCCTTTCTATTTCCATTCAGTTCCACCCTTCTCTGCCCTCTCTTCAAATACTCGTATATTCCCTTCCACTTTATTATGACAATTATCTTTCTGGCCAGAGGAGTTTAAAAATCTATTTAAATTGTTGGAGAAACCTCAATTATCCGACTATTTGGGGTCACCTAACAATGGCCCAGATAATTTCTTTCCTGCCGCACTAGGCGTAACATCGGCCCCGAGCTTCTTAATAAGCACCAGGTCAGCGGCCGCTTCAGGCCCGCATGAGCGATGGTTTGACCCCTCTTCAGATCTTTCGCAGCCTTCGCCTTCGCCTGCCTCCTCCGCGCCGCCGCCTGGCCCCGCGCGCCCCATTATTTGTCTTGCGGTCGGGGCCTGGAGGGCTGGCGCGCCCTCGCCCACTGCTGGGAGCGTGCAGGGCTGTGCCCGGAGGGTGCCGGGGGGCCGCGGGCTCGCCAAGCTACCAGCAGGGCCGGAGCAGAGGGAGGAGCCTCGCTTTGTGCTCTGGGCCCTAAGTCCGAGTGCACTGGGCGCTTGAGGCGGCCCTTGTAGACCCCGATGGCTTTTAAATAGGGTGTCACCTGGCGCCAAGCAGGGTGACTTGACCAGAAGAGATACCTACTCCCTTCCTTGGGGCTTCCATTCCTTCCTGGCCTTGTCACAGTCTCTAGCCTTTGCTTTCATGGTTCAGGAAAATGTGTGTGTGTGTGTGTGTGTTAGTATAAAAGCAGAGAGCCTGAGTACGGCTTGGGAAACTTACAGAATTTCTTTTCTTCCAAAGAAAAGCAAATCCACTTCCTAGATAGTTACACATTATTTTAAAATGAAATGTTGTGTGTAATTCTGTTTTGCATCGGGGTTTAGTCAAATAACTTTTAGCTGAAAGCGGGAATGTTAAGAGGCTACAGCCATGCCTTATAATAGAAATAACTCAAAGTAAACAGAGCTAGATGTAGCGAGGGCCAGAGAAATTTTTTAATATAGGTACTGAGAGTTAATTTTTGTACTGGTCTGTGAGAATATGTGATTGCAAAGACACTTTTAAGTTTACAATTCATTTGTGTGCGTATTTGCACCCACCGTAGTTGAAAACAGGCACATACACAGTATTTGCTCATCTGTGTGTTTTGTGTGTGGGCATCTGGGTGCTTGCATAAGAATTTCCTGAGTGGGTTTTCCTAGATTGAGATTTTGTTTTTGTTTTTTAACTATCTCAGCGATTTTTTTCTCAGCCCGCTCCTCCCTGCTAACCTTCTAGGGCACTCTGATGGTTGGTGATTCCCCTGTAGCCTTGTGTTGGTGGTGTTAGAAGGAGACAGCCCAGCACTGTGGGATCAGGTGGTTGTTGGAAACCTCCTCCCGGCTGAGCCTACACAGGGCTTCCTGGGCTGAGGCTGTTGGGTGCCCCAGAGCCTGGATAACTCTGCAGTGGGCGGGGGGGCCCTTTTCACCCTCTGAGCCCACAGGCTCCCGAAGAAAGAGGAGCAGTGTCTGTTTCGGGGGAGTTCTGGGAAGTAATGCCTATGGCTTCCAGGGCTTGTTGGTGTGACTTCTCTCTCCTTCCTGCAGGGCATGGAGGGAATCAAGGTGTTTCTCCATGAACGAGAACTGTGGCTGAAATTCCACGAAGTGGGCACAGAGATGATCATCACCAAGGCTGGAAGGTGAGCCGGTTAGTGGGGAAGAGGGGCATAGGGGAATTGTGGGGGAGACAGGAAGGAAAGTGGGTTTGGGAGAGGCAGGAGGAAAGGGGACAGAGAGAACAGAACAGAGGAGAGAGAAAAAGAGAGGGTATGTTTTGGTGGACTCGATTCTGGTTAAAGAAGCACAGGAAGATTCTTCCCTGGGTCTTGTAGGGTGGGGGAAATACTCCAAATAATCAACTCCAGAAACTGGGCATTTCTTCCACCTCGTATATAAAAAGAATAAAGTGCTGGGAGGCCATGCTATCTGGACAGATTAGTGAAGAGAGAAGAGAGGACAGGAAAACAGGCGTGGGGGAGGACTGGGGCTTCTTGGGTCTCTGGATTTCCTGGGTCTTGGACTTGATTCCCTGTCTCCACCCCCATGCCCATCCTCTCTGACCTTGGAGAGACTCCAGGGTCCAGGGACCCACCCGATCACCAAACTGAGAATCGCTGAATGTATTCGCTACCTCTTTCACTGTTTATAGAAAGGAGGCGAAGCCTTTGAAACTGAACTGGGGCTCGGCCGGGCTCTATATACAGACACCGATAAACACGGCGGCTTTGCCAAGACACTCACGCTGGAGTTCCTCTTAAAAACTCGTGGAGTTGTAGCTAGAAACGACTAGACTTGTGTATCTCAATGTGTGGAGGTGTGCGCGCCGGCGTCCAGGCCCGGGGACATCCCTGCCACATCCCTACCCTGCTGGCCTGGTCCTCCGTGTCAAAAGCTGGAGGATGCCCAGAGCATCTGAAGCAGAGGCCTGTAGGCCTAAGCCTCGGAGTGTGTGAAGGGGGAGGGTGGGGCTGCCTCTCCAGACGCACCCCGCATTCTCCAGCCGAAGCTGCCCTCAGTAAACTGACAACGGTGACATTTATTATTATTTAAAATTAAACAATGTCTGCTTCCCGCTCCATCCAGGTCCGGAGCAAACTAGGAGGCGCGTTCAGTTTATATCAACGAACTGCGATCCTCTTCCCGTTCCCCCAGGAAGGAAAGACGCGTGGAGCTCCTTTTCCCCCCAGCCTGGGCGGAGAGGATTTAGCTATAAAAGGCCTGCGAAGTCTTCTGCGCCCCCGCCTCCGGGCGCGCTCGCTCAGGCAGATAAACACCGCGAGGCCCGTGACTTGAGGGGAGAGGAGGCCTCCATTCACCCCTTCCCGCCATCGCCGAGTGAGCCAAAGTCCAGCAACTTGTCGCGCCAGACCAGCCTTGGAAACCCTTGTTTTCAGGAAACCCTTGTTTCCTGGCGAGGTGCATGGGAATTCGGAGCGCACCAGGAGAGAGGCAGCCGGACAGTGCAGCCCGGTGCCATCGGCTTTCTGACGACAAGATCCTAGTTCAGGTCCCTTCCTGAAACCAAATCCGGACGGGTTTGGGATTTCTTTGCCGGGGGGGACAAGGAGCTTACACTCTCCAAGAAGAGTGCCCGGAGCTTTGGAGGAGTCGTGGGGCGTTTGCGAGTGAACCCCTGCTAGACACCCATGTCAGAGGTCACCCAACGACTCATACCCGGAATCGCGGCTTCCCCCCACCTCTGGGGGCAGGGGACCAAAGCCAGGACGCGAGGCGGGTGCGCACCCACGCGTGCGCGTCTCAGGGCGCACGGCCCTGCGTGCCCGTGACGCGGAGGACCGGGAAGGGCCTGGCTGGAGAAACAGGGCGCTGGTTTTGTTTTGTATCGAAAAAGCCTCCTCTCGCCCCAGATAGTAGATGCCCTGCTCTGAATAGAGCATTTAGCAGGAGTTGAGATGGGGGTTCCCTTCCGGGCTCCTTCAAAACCAGCTTCCCTCAAAGCGCAGGCCTCCCAGTCTCCATTTGCCTCCCAGATACCTACGGTCGCCGCCTGCCGCTTTCTCCTCCCTCCCCTTTCTCCTGCCCGTGACTTCGAGGGAAACCCGGGATGGATCTCCGCGAGAGCGGAGCAGGACCAGTTTTCGCCTCCACGTGTCTCAGGGAACCGCTTCCACCTTCCGTTAAAATGTGCAGACACTCTCTTCAAAGGTTTGGCATTAATTCCCGCCCCCTTCTCTCCCTCGGTCCCTCTCTCCTAGGCGGATGTTTCCCAGTTACAAAGTCAAGGTGACTGGCCTTAATCCCAAAACGAAGTACATTCTTCTGATGGACATTGTTCCTGCCGACGACCACAGATACAAGTTCGCGGACAATAAGTGGTAGGAATTGGAGCGGCAGGTGGAGCGGGGGAGGGAGGAAAGTGGAACCCGCACCACGAAATGGAACCAGTAAACGTTTTTTGATTCCCTACTGTGTGCTAGAGGCGCTGATGTGCCTATTCCATTGCTTTCTGCTGATCGCCCTGAAACAAAAAAAAAGCAGCCGTTAGCCTCCGTTTTATAGATGAGAAGGCCGAGGCTCAGAGGAAAAATGAGGGGCCTGTATCCACTGCTGCAACCGCGGGTTGTGGATTTTTTTAAAAAGAGGATTGTTACCAAGTGCTGGAGGTATTTCTGGGGGCATAAAACCATTTACAGTTATTTTTTATGAGTTACCTGCTTTGAACATGCCTTTTTATGAAATTGCAAAATCGGCCCATGGTATTTGAGTTAAACAGGCAAGAGGAGAAAGGCCCATTTCGGGGGTAGATTGCTCCTGTGGCTGCCCATAGTGCAGGGGCCTGAAGAGGATGCCCCCTTTGAAAGCCCTCAAGGAGATTTCAGGACTTTCTGCACATCCAGACCTCCAGAAGCTGCCGATTGTTTGTGGGCGCCAGAAGCCCCTGGCACTGGGAAGGACTGAGATAAGGAAAGGGCCAGGCCAGGAGGTCACAGACCTGCACCCAGGTGCCAGGCACTCTGGGGCACCCGGGATTTGTAGATCCCTAAGGGGGACTGAAGAGTCTGCCCAGTTCCTACTCAGCCCTCTCAGCTGGTGGGTGAATTGGCCTGAGCCTCCCTGCGGTGCGCGACCTCTGGGCTAGGAGCTGGGCCTCCAGTCACACCTCTGCTTGATCTAGGTCTGTGACCGGCAAGGCTGAGCCCGCCATGCCCGGCCGCCTCTATGTGCATCCAGACTCACCGGCCACGGGGGCTCATTGGATGCGGCAGCTCGTCTCCTTCCAGAAACTCAAGCTCACCAACAACCACCTGGACCCATTTGGGCATGTGAGTGCTGCGCCCTCGAGTCTTCTCCCTCTGTAATCTTCTCTGGCCCTCTCCCTTCTTCTCACTGGATTTTCCTCTCTTGTCTCTTTGCACCCACATTTCTTTTCTGTGCTCTGTTTACCCCCTTGGGTCTCTTTTTCTCTCCTACCTTCTTTTTTAGATTAAAAAAAAATTTTTTTTTGTAGAGGTATCGCTCAGACTGGTCTCAAACTCTTGGCCTAAACAATCCTCCTGCCTCAGCGTCCCAAAGTATTGGGACTACAGGCTTGAGCCACTGCATCCAGCTTGGCCTTCTTGATCTGGACTTCCTTCTTCCTCCCTCTTTCTTCCTCCTCCTCCCCCCTTTCTTATGTTTTTTTTTTTTCCCCTCTTTGATTTCACCTTCTAACTCAACCTTTTCTCTGCTTTTTTACTACTTGTTCCTCTGTTTTCACCACTCTTCTGCTCAGATACCTGGCCTCTTGCAGTCCTCCCTGTGGTCCACTCTCCCCTGCTCGCATCTGTCTTTCCGTGGTGGCTGGGAATAGGGCCCTAGTTCTTCTGGCCTGGGGCTTCATCCTTGCCCCAAGCACTCAATGCTCTGCCTCTGCTAAGGGGGTGGGGGGGTGGGGGTGGGGTAGTGACTAAAGAGACTTATTCCAGGCCTGAACACTGGGGCCTGGGAACCCGACCTATGGCCAGAGGTGGGGGAGGGAGACTGGTTTTCAGTCCTGCAGAAAACATGAACCCTGTAGTCCACAATGCAGACTGCACAGAGGCTGGACCACAATGGGAGCCATGTGCCCGCCCCACCTCCTTTAGAATTTTGCCTTATTATTGAAGGATGTTCCTGGTGAGAGGGAGAGCCCAGGTCACCTGTGCCCTATTTAAAGAGGGACAAAGAACTCACAAGAGGTGAACCCTGGTACCTTACCCCTTTTCAGCTTGATACTATTGAACCAGGTCGATTCCCCCCACCCCCACCCCCAGAGTAGGCAAACCTCAACCAGGGTCCTAAGCTTACAGTCTGGACTGGCCCCAGGAGAGGAGCCTGGTGATTTCCTGAAACTGAAAGTACAGCTCTCTCTCTCGTTGCCCAAGGGAATGTGTAGCATTTAGAGGCTTTTCAGTAGGGCACCACCTCTCCCCTTCCAAAAAAGCAAAGAAGGAAACACCGATTTGAGGGAAAATGGCCCTAAATCTCTTCATTGGAAATAATCACTAGAATAGAGCTGTGTCTCAGTTTTTAGAACCCCTCACTCGGGGATTCCACCACACAAGTGGGTGTGTTAGGGCATTTGATCCTCACTGCAGCCTACAGAGGGGACTAAAAGGCACAGTCGTTGTAAGAGAAAGCCAGGAGGGTAGGTGACTTGCCCAAGGTCCTGCAGTTTGTGTTTGGGGACAGACAGTTGAGACTGTCTCTCAGCCTCTAAAGGGGCCCCTTATCCTGTCAGGCTGTCTCTCCAGAGAGGAGCCACAGATACACCGATGGCCCCCACTTTACGGAAAAGAAGGGGCTGGGTAGAAATGCTTTTGGCCAAGAGGGGGACAGTTTATGAAGGTCCAGATGAGAAATCTCCTCCTTCGAGGCCTTAGAGCCGAAGCACTGAAACCACCGGGACTTGGAGAGGAAAGAGGGTCTCAGGGTTCCCCTCTGATGGCTTGAGGCCGCTCTCAGCATGTAGGAGGGAGGAGATGGAACTGCGGGCCAGGATCCAGAAAGTCCCATTCCCTTTCTGAGGCTGCAAAAGGCATTTCTAGGGAAAATGCAGGGCCTTCTTTCTGTTAAAATCCCGGTGTTTCGCCCACAGTGTCGCTGCTGGTGCTTCCAGCTTGTCCCGAGTCTGCTGGGGTGCGTAGACTGAACAGCGTTCAGGTGTATCTGCCCTCACCCCGCAGACACTGCTTGGGCCCAAGCGCCGGGAAGAGCGGGGACCCTTGCGTGGGAGCCTCCGTGGACCCTTGGCTTAGGGAGTGCCACCACCCCCAGCCTCATTTCGGCTCTCTACTTTTCCTCTGCTCGTCCGGGTGTGCTTTTGGGGGCGAGGCCCCGAGAAGGCGCCATGCAATTCCCAGGACCCCTGCGAGTTTCGGGTCCTTCCGAGCCGGGGGAAGGGGACGTGGTGCCCTGAGCTGCTCCCGGCTGCCCAAGCGGCCACGCATTCCCGCCCCAAACTCCGGACTTTTAATCCAGAGCCGCCCTAATGAAATTAGGAGCCATTAGATCGCCCTCGCGCTGATGTCTCCACACTGTCCCCAGCCGTCAAAG